CTAAGTTTTCCCCTCCTTTCTGTTTCTTCATTTAGACCTGCTGTGATGACTGTTGAGGAGGGGGACTATGAAATCTCTCTTCGGGTGAGATCCGAATTGATGGAGAAGATATTCCTTAACATTCCCGCCGAATGGCTGAAGAAGGCTGTAGGTAATACCTTGGGACTCTGTGGTGTAACTTGGTGGAGGTTTTTTTGGTCTGTAATCCCTTAACTGCAAGTTTGTGACGCGACAAGTAATAATTCTGAAAGCAGAGAGCAAACCTCACTCTCTTCTAGCACTGATGACGTTACCTAGTTGGGTAATGAAACATCTGCAAGAGAATAACCAAGCTCAGAGGGCACCAAGGACTTCACAATCCTCCTCCCTCCAAACCCCACTCCCTTCTAGCACTGATGATATTACCTACTTGGGTAATGAAATGTGTGCAAGAAAATAACCAAGCTCAGAGAGCACTAAGGAGCCCACTGTAATAAATCTTCCTTGGCCACTGTCATCAGATCACACTCCATCTCAAATGTCTATGAAGATTATCAGTCATCCAGGTCATGGTTGTCCCAAAGATCAAGACATGACTCAACCTAGCGTGGTGCCCTCTAGCTGTGCCTTGCAGCTCAGGATGATGGGAGTTGTCATGCAAAAGATCTATAGATCAGTGGTCGCCAACCAGTGGGCTGGGGACCACTGGTGGTCCACGAGAAAATTTTGGTGGTCTGCAGAGGAATGCAATCCCCAAAGCAATTAATCCAGGCTGCGTGGGAACACAAGCCTGTGCTGCCCACATGGCCCGCAGGAACACAAGACTTGTGTCACTTGCATTGTGAACAACATGAGGTAGTGAGGGGAGGGGGAAAAGGGCGGAGGGGGAGAACTTGCCCCACTTACCCCTCGCACTTCGCCTGGCCACCAGGCTGCTGCTTTCCGCTTCTTCTGCTTTTGGCTGCATGCAAGGAAAGCAGCAAAAGTCTTTCTTTCTCTCCCCCAAACTCCTCCAGAAATGAGTCTTTGGGACCCTGCAAGGCCTCCTGCTCCAAGAGCAAAGATTCATTTCTGGTGGAGTTTGGGGGAGAGATAGAAAGACTTCTGCTGCTTCTGCTGCTCTCCTTGCATGAAGCCAAAAGTCTCTCTCTCTCTTCTCCGCCCCCCACCCCCAAGAACGGAGCTAGGGACGGTATCATGCAATCCCAAATAAAGAACGATCGATCGGTAGGAAAACGGGGTGGGGAATTTTCCTGCAGACTTTTTTGGGGATTTTCCCAGGGTCTCTGGTCCATGGGATTTAAAATTATGAATTTGGTGGTCCCTGAGGTCCAAAAGGTTGGCAACCCCTGATCTGTAGGGTTCCTGGTTGGTTGCATTCAGTGATGGCCTTAAGTCAAGGACTACCCGTATAGGAATTGCTAAGAAGCCCCCGCAGGCATTTTCTGGATCAGGGTTAGCCTGGAGAAGGGATTTCTGAACTCAGACCAGGGATAGCGATCTGTTTACATTCCATAAATTCCCTCAAAACCAAGAAGAGGCTCCCCCCCCCCCCCCCCCACGTTTTGCCCTTCCATCCCATGGCCTGGAGCCTCCGATGGGAAAGGTTGTGAAGTCCTCTCCTCCTTCTGTTGCAGAACCTTCTTCAGATACCACCTACGGGATGCTGGTGGCTGATCTCTGCCACTCTCTGCTCACCGACTCCAAGGCGTCCCACCTTCTAACCCTTAGGAGCCATTTTGTCCTGGATGAAAACAGTTTCCCTCTGGAGAAGGACTTCCAGCTGCTGGAGTTCCACCTTGATCTCTGAAGCAGCCCTTTCTGATGAGGTTCCTCACTCCATTTCACAATCATACTAAAAAGACATAAAACGGGGACAAGGGAACGGGGTTTTTGTTTGTTTGCCTTGGAAGGAATACGTGTCGTTTTTATAAATACATTTTGTACGATTTAAGAGCCGTGATTTCTTCAGACAGTTATTAAAACCTACTCAAAAGATGAGTGTGTTTTCTTTGCTGGGCTTTTATCCCCAAGACTCCAGGAATTTCCTGAAAGAGAATTAAAGACATTAGAAAACGCTCCCTGCCAACATTTTTAAATGTGTTGCCTAAAAAAACATATTTTTCCTTGCCGCACCCTTTTTCATCAGCCGCAATTTTCACGTTCGTGTCATGAAGAAACTGTCGTTTTTGGCCACTGTACTGGCCACTGTAAAGAGGAGATGACAGTAACATCAGCTCCAGTATCCAATAACCCTTGAAATGGTTGTTTATTAAGGAAGAGTGTTAACAAAGGATGAGAGGAGTTCAGCTGATGAAGTAAGCCTACAGATGAAGTTGATCCAAATCCTGCATCCCTATGATTACCTATACCAGGAGATGGAATTTCATATGGAAGCAGCAATTGAGCAACAGAAGAATTACAAGGAAGAACTTGAGGAAGATTCACCCAAATCTGAATCAGGAGGATACCAGTGTAATCTGAATCTATTACCCCAGGCACAACAAAATAGCTCTTTTTGTGTGCAGAAGAACGAGGCAAAATTAAGCCAACTAATCCCGAAGGAAGAGGACCTTTAAATTGAGATGGAACTATTTTAACTTCCATGGGAAATTTAAACTCAATTTCCTCTTGAGTGATTAAATCGATCCCAGCGCTATTGGCTGTGGCTGGGGAGGAGTGAGAGAGACTGCTGGAGGAGTAAAGTAATATTTGCTTCCAATCTTCAGGGATCATTGTATAACCATTTTTTATTCCTTCTACAAGTCCTCTTGTAAAATTACCACTAATCCCATAGTCTGTAACTGCCTTTTTAAACTCTCTTAAGATCTGATAAGGCAGACCCTCCCATTCTGCTACTTGCAGTCCAAGCTGTGGCCCCTGACGAGGACGATATTGTACTGGACAAACAGACAGTAATTCTGCAAGTTCTGTTCCTGAGACAGAGGCATCCCTTTTACAAGTCTCTACCATTTTCTGAAAAGAATACTGAACAATAGAGTCAGGAGGCTTTTGCCCTGTATCTGCAGGAGCTGAGGGAATTGAAGACATATATTCAGGTGAAGAAGGGGGACAAATGACAGCATTAGTATAATGTGAAGGTGGAAGTGTTAAAAGAGAAAGTTCATTGTGACCAAATGTTTCAATTGCATGCCTACATAAATGCCACACATGCAAAACTTCTATTTTTGCTCGAGGTTCAGTATGCAATGTTTTCCCAATACGTTCCCAATCAGTTAATTTTAAAGACTCCTTTTCTGGGTACCATAGGCACTGAGCTGCAATCTCCTGGACCAGCCTTAAGAGATTTCTCTGTGGTACCTCGGTATTATTTTTCTTCAACAAATAGCCTAATTCATCTACATGCTTCCTTTGTTCCTCAGAAAGCGAAGGCCCCATACTTACAGAAACCAAAAGGTTGAAGAAACCACAAAGGGTTGAAGGTGCACCAAATCCTTGCCGGACGAAGTAAGAGGGTCCCTGTTCGGGTGCCAGTTGTAATGACGAGGCAGTCGAGTTGTTTGATCATGAACCACTGAATTATGATCTTTATTGGAGTAGTCTTGCATTTATATACATTTTTAGTTATCCTCCATCATTGGTTAACTTTGGTTACTGCTTAACTTTGGTTACTGTTTAGTACAGTAATCCATACAATTAATTATCTCTAGTTAAAGTCTAACATATGTTTACTTCCCCTCTCTAATCCTCCTTTATCCATAGATTAGTGACTTTGTTTGCCTGAGTTGTATTTGCTTGGAAACATTCTTTATCTGAGGTTTGCCATCCGAGATTGGAACATTCCTGCAATTACAACTCTACATGCTGTGATGACCCAGGCATGACACAAAAATAACAGTGTCACAAAAGTAGAATAAATTCCCTTTAATGCCTCCAACTTGGGCCCCAATGTCCAATTATCCTTGACTTTGATATCAACTCTTCCAAAAACAGTCTACGAAGAGAGTAAATGCAGTCTGAACCAAAAGTAAAAATAATGAGAAGTAAAAAAAAAAACCAACACAAACCACACGGCAGGCCAGGATGATAAATTGCAGACTTCCACAAGATAACACAGCAACCACAGTTGGGAGGACTCCAAAACCCCGATAAGCCTCGACCAAGATAAAACACGCTTTGCTTCCAGCAAACAGCTATTTAAAATGCCCCACTTATATCCTGTTCTCCCAGCTGCAACTCATGAAAGGGATCAGGGCCTTTTCCTCTCCCGTAAGACATGTTCCTCCTTGCGTGCCTTAGGATGAAGAGGGGACAGCCCTGGGTCTTCCTTTGAATGCCAGGCATGATATTCTTCCGATTAAAATCGGAATTCTGATTTTTTGGGGAATCCCCCCTTTCCCCCCACCCCTTCTTCTCCTCCTTCCCCTCCCCTCGGAGGCCCCGAGTCAGGAGTTGCTGGCGCGGCTCCAGTCCCGCGTTGCCTCAGGAAGGGAAAGGCAAAAAGGAAGAGCCGCGGCGGGGCTTTGCAACGGCAGCAGCGGCTCCTGGTTTTGCCTTTCCCTTCCCAAGGCAACGCGGGACTGGAGCCGCGTGGAGCTGCGCCGGCGGTAGCAACTCCTGACAGCCCCAGCCAGATACCTGAGCGGAGCCCGGGCGGTGCGAGCAGAGGCCGCTGAGCGGCAGGAAAAGGGAGCTGGGCCAGCCACAGACCAGCCTCCGTGCAACACGCCACCGCCCGGCCCTGGCGAGGGAAAGCAGCGGGTGCTCCCCGGGCACACGGCGGGGGGTCTCTTTTGGCCGGCCCCGATTTTTTTTTTAGAGCGGAATATCATGCCTGGAATGCCCAACCGGACTGTGCTCTTCCCCCATGTCTTCCACAGCCACCCAAAGCCACACTCCCACTCCCTGTCAGCTCCTCAATCTCTCCCTCAGAGTCACTCCAACAAGGGCATGACACCTTCAAACATCCTACTGCGTAAGGCAGGCTACTATTGTGTTCAGTATTGGAATTCCGAAACGCAATACTTGCGTGTTGAAAAGAAGAAAGACATGATTCAAGATAGACCTGGAACATTTTATTCTTTGTCAGCTCTGCCTTCCTATTATGCACCAACAATTATTCTTACCTATTTGTTTAGAACAATGTTTGTTCCATATACAGAAAACACATTATGAAGCACCCTGATTATGTAAACAAATCAAAATATTTTCGGCAGGATTACATTCGGGTCCTTGGAAAAATATCTGGAAATTTAGCTTTACTCCCGATTGGCTGACGTGCTACATATTGAGAGAGGGGTGCAAAGTGTGCGGCACACAGACCCATCCTACGGGAGGGAGAGAAGCAAGAATTGTTTGCTATAGCGTCTGTGCATGATGAAAAGAAGCGGCAAACCCGAGGCAGGATCGAAAGTGCCCTGCACTGCCAAAATTGTTACCCGTGTGCCACATAGGATTTACACTTTATTTTATGGCATAGAGAGATCCTGGATACCCAAAGAATACTCAGAAGAGAGCCCTGCGAGGACTTTTGTGGCTCCCTCCTTCAGTCCTCTGGCTTGAAGAACGAACGAAGGACCCAGCTTTTACCAACGATGGTAAATGGCACCGCTTTTGCTTCACCCAATTCATCAAGCATTTTTTTGTTGTTGTTCAGTGACCAAGTCGCTAGGGTTTCTTCCCTGCCCCAGCAGCGCCCCCTCCCCAAAGTGCAGGGGGAATCCACCCCCAGTGGTCGTCCTCCCTTAGTTGTTCATGAGCCCCTTCAGGAGATCTTCCGAGAGCTCCACCAGTGGGAACTCCGGGGAGGGAATGTCCAAGGGGGGCAGGCTGGGGATGGGAATGTCCTTGCCCTTCCCGGCACTGACCGCCAATTTCTGCCAGGGGCTGGTGGCGGAGGCGGCAGGTTCCGAAAGCTGCTGGAGGCCCCACAGCTCCGACTTTTCCACAAAGTCAGCGTCTGCATCCAGCCCCTTCTCCAGGGGAGACTTCAGCAGCCTGGCTCTCTCGGCTTTTAACTGCCGGTTCTCCCACCTCAGCCTCTCGTTTTCGGCAAACAGCATCTCCACGTGCTGCTCCAGGAGTGCAATTTTGGTGGCCTGCTCCTCCATTTTCATCTTGTCATCCTTGGGAGGCCTGTTCTTCACGCCCACGTCCAGGGGAGGCTCCTTCCTCTTCTGAAGCAGAAAGAGCAGCGTGTCCGGATCCCTGTCCAAGACCCCGCGGAACCCCTTCGCCTCCTCTGAGGAGGGCCTGCACTTAAGGCTGGCAGGTGTCCCATGTTGGTCCTCGGCTTCCTCGGCTGAGGGCTTAGAAGAGCTCTGCCCGTGGGCCACGCTCTCTCTGTCCACCAGAGGGCGGGCTTTTAACCTTTCGTCCCTTTTTGTTCTTTTCCATCGCTCTTGGATGAGGGGGATCTGTTTGAGGTGACTCTCCCTTTGCAATTCCAGGGATAACTGGGCCTGCCGAGAAACAAAAGGATAAGCCGCCTTTATCCGCTACTCGGGGAATAAAACAAGTTCTGGCATCCGAAGAAACACAAGTTCTCGAGCTCCCGCCAGCTGGTGCAATGTAACTCCAGTTTTAGAAGCCAGTTGGGGATAAAATATCAATATATCTGCATTGTAAGAATAAAGCCATTGCTTTGAATCAGGAAATAAACGTTTTTTTTCACAATGCCAAGTTGAGTTAGACACAAGCTTTTTCTATACATGAACAATAAATCATAAATCTGGCTTCTATCCCCCTTTTCTTTTATTTAAAATTCATCTTCATGTATACTGGAATACTGCATCCAGTTTTGGTCACCACATGGTAAAAAACATGTTGCGACTCTAGAAAGAGTAGAGAAGAGCAACCAGGATGATTTAGGGGACTGGAGACTAAAACATATGAACTGGGCCTGGCTAGTCTAGAGAAGGACCAGGGGAGACATGATAACGGTCTTCCAATATTTGAGGGGCTACCCCAGAGAGGAGGAAGGGGTCAAGCTATTTTCCAAAGCACCTGAAGGCCAGACAAGGAACAATGGATGGAAACTGAACAAGGAGAGATTTAACCTGGAAATAAGGAGGAATTTTCTGACAGGGAGAGCAATCAACCCATGGAACAGAAGTTGCCTTCAGAGGTTGTGGGAGCTTCATCACTGGAAGCTTTCAAGAAGAGATTGGACTGCCATTTGTCAGA